CCTATATTTTGGTTAATTTTTGATTTGTCTAGCTGGGTTACAGTTTTGATTTTGAGTACTCTGGAATTGGATTGGCCTGGTTTGCGGTCAGTGGGACAGAAGAAAAACTGTTAAAGATAGAGAAAAAAAAAGAAAGCCATTATATCCTCAGGTGAGGGAAGACAGCCATAGAAAGAATAAGATTCCCTAAAAGGCTTGAAAGAGCAGGATTGCCCCTGCACACTGCTGTTCTAAATGGAGCCTAGGAGGTCTTAGCTTTACAGGGTATCAGACTGCCATGGAAGCAGTTAGTGTTGAGCTGGTTAGTGATTCAATCATATTTCCACCAAAAAGTACAGACCACTGACCTTCTTTTCTTCCACTACAACAGCAGTGATGTTCTTAGGTAGCAGAGTAGTTTTTCCATTTCAAGATGACGTCTCTGATCTGAAATAACCCAGAGATAGGAGAATGGCTGGAGTCAGAGCACTGTGCAGCCAAAAATAATCCGGTTTGAGTTAGTGCTGGATGTTTGAGGATGTCAGAGTGACACTGTCCAGGGACAGACTCATGGAGGTGGCACAGGATTATTGATTCAAAACAAACTTGCTGGATTCATAGCATATTAAAATGATAGCAGGGCATTTGAACATCCTCTTCTAGATGAAAGCAGAGCTATGCACATGCTCTTTCCCTATGCAGAACATTTCCTTTGAACTACCTATCCAGCTCATCTCTTATCTGACATCCATATTGCACAATTTTCTCTCTACTGTCAAATACCTCACTCCTTCAGGGTCAGATCCACTGTAAACAGGGGCAGCACACAATAAGCCACCAAGCACTCACTTCACTGGATACAGAAATGAATCCACGATTTACAATCAGCTGGACTAGTTGTTACAGACATAACTAAAATCTGTACTAGCTTCTTATTTATCTTGGCACAGTACAGCTCACCCCTGCTTCTCCTGCTAACTCCATACATGTTCCTGCTGTATCCTTCTTTGATACAACAGAACATTTTAATCTTATTTTTGTTATGCTTTGTTTTCCACAGGATTACCTCTTAGATCACTAACCAGAAAAAAGGCATGACTGTCCCTTTCTGCAGCAAGGTACTCTTAAAAGACTTTAAAAAATGCAACCACACCTTTTACTGAAGTGATTTTAATGTAAACATAAATTCCAAGTCTAAATGCAAAATATTGAAAGTTCAGCAGCTTAAATAATTGAAAAGACCCAATCCCAAATAAATAGAATGTAACTTGTTTACTTATTTTTCTCCAAGTGCTATCCAGAGTCAGGGTACAGACGTTTTTACGTTTAATGCAAATTTTGCAGACACAATTTTTTAAGACTCAGCATTTCTAATTTTTGTCCTCAACAATGAAAACCAGCAGGGATATTTTGCAGTAAATGCTGCAATGAGCACTAGTTCATTGGAAATATTAATCTTCTCCCCAAAATTAAACAAAGCATCTCTTTCTCTGTGCTTAATACTACATTTGGCTCAGATTCCATTTCTGAATAACATGTACATAGCACTAAAAAGTGCAGAATAGTGACGTTTTTCCCTAAAATGTTAGAATTGTAATTTTTTTAGCAAAATACTAATATAGAAAAATTTTTTACTATTTCTATGTTGTCAATAAACACTGGTCTTATCCCAAAGCTTGATAAAAAATAATAATAACAAATACATCTGGTAATGTATTAAAGAACTGACTAAGCTTTGAATTAAAAAAAAAAAAAAAAAAAAAAAAAAAAAAAAAAAAAAAAAAAAAAAAAAAAAAAAAAAAAAAAAAAAAAAAACAAAAAAAACCCAACTAAATCTTTAGACTTTAAAAGACACACATGGAAGAGAAACCAGAAATGGAGAAAAGTGACTCCTAAATTACACCACATAACATTTATTCTCGTCTTTTACTTCATTCCTGTTCTGTGGCCATGAAACAACCTTGCTTGCAGAAGCCACCTGGAGACACTGCTTCACTTAAAGAAGCTCCTAGGCTTAGAGAAGGATATTTGCATCAAAATCTCTTTGCTCAGCATAATCCTTATTAAAATTCCACTGAAGCCTCAAATACTCACTACTTCTGCAGAGACAGCCACTTTCTCAAAGAATGTTTCACCTCCTTTGCACCTGTGGTTCACTTTTTTTTGCTAATAAAGGCCTTTTGACTACTTTCATTCTGCAGTTTCAAGTTATACTGTATGTGTACCAAAATGCTTCAGGGTCAGTTTTCAATGCAAAGATGGAAAATTTTAAGAATGTATTGGGCAAATCAGCACTCTCCATTGTTACCTGATTCCATGTTAGCCAGAGAAATCATCCTGCCCTAAAAAAGCATTGCAAGACATACTTGTAAATTGATACACAAGGCATACTTGTACAAGACAAGCTTGTAAACTTATAGTAAACTTGTTCATAGCAGCTTACATATGGGGATATTCTCCGTTCTTAAGAGGCTTGTCAGAAGCTTTTCTTATTCTCAAAATAGAACTGTAGTGCAGAGTTAAACAGTGGGTGACTAAGAATAAAGATGAGATCTTTCAGTTCAAGCTTTGATACTCTATGTTATCTGAAGCACTTTTCAATTAAGCGGATTACAAGAACAGACTTTGCCATCCCATTTCTATTAGATTTATCAGTTGTGCTTGGCAGAGGATCTCTTGCAACTAAAGGTCTATTATCTTTAATTAAATTATAACTTTCACACTGTTCTTGAATAATGTTGTCTGTATTCAGCAGGCCTGGAGAGACTATATAAAGCACTCTGATTCAACAGCTGCTATTAGTAGAATATTGTCTTGAAAAAAACCTGTGATCTTAGCCCTACTGGTCTAAATCATCTCTTCAGTAGAAAAAACATTAAGCAGACAAAGTCTCCAACAAAATGCTAAAGAACATGCTTAAGAACAAGCAGAAGTGCGTTCCTGAAATTAAGCCATTTCCAGTTATTTTGTGTTAGTCTCACATCAGTTTCCAGTTTCTATTTCCTGAAGATAAGCTTCAAATTTGAGTTTAATTTTAAAAGTATTTCCAGTACAACTGAGTTGCCTTGAATATTTTCCTGTACATGGCATGGAGCTGCTCAGGTACATCAGCTTTTTCAGTCTTTCTTGTCAGATGTCATCCAAGTGATAAATAAAGGGCTTTTAAGTGGGTAGCAAAGCTGTCATTCCAGAGCAACGAAAGAAAGAGGTCCTATGTGCTGTTGTCATTGATGTCAGTCAGCTCCCTTCATCTTCTATATTCAACACTGTTTTCCGTGAACCTGACTGTCAAATGTGACAACATAACTGGATGAAAGCATCACTGACCACACTGTTGATTTACTGATGGAAAGCATTTTTATTTGTAACAGTAGTTTCCTATAGATAATGAATTTTCTTGGAAGGTCACAATTTTGTCATTCAAAGTATAGGTCTGTAAACTGCCCATTGAAGGCTGGGAAAGCTTGGTTTCCCCTCAGAAGGGATTAAAATAGATGTGAGTTATCCCACAGGCTGGAAAACAACACAGTTTTGTATAAACCTCACTGTGTTCAGTAAAAACAAAATAATTACTCATACCAAAGAGAAATTCACAGCCTAAGGCCCCAAGTCTGAGGAAAATGTGGATCAGCAGCCCGGGGTTTTTTGAATGCTTCAATAAAACAGAAAAATGAGGGAAAAGAAAATGTTCCTTACTCAGATGGAACTGCTTAAATGTGTTTGACTTTCCTTGTTGTTACATGTTACTCTGCTGCCAGTTCCCACCCACTCACTAAACATCTGCAACAGCCACAGTCCATGCAGGACATGGGCTTACAAGGGACAAACAGAAATCAAGAGGCAACAGCATAAAACGTGATGGATGACCAGTATGGATGAGAAGGAGAGAGATGTCCCCACTCTAACTACTCACACCTTCAGCTATGTGGCACCCATCTAGCAGTCTGAGGAACAGGGGGTTCAGGAAAACCAGAAGTACCTGAAGGGACAGTCTGTGCTGAATGTATTGTATGAGAGAGTCCCCACCCCTCTGAGGCCCAAAGTGCCCATTTTGAGTAACCACTGCACCCTGAAGAAAGAAAATTAAGGGCATGGTTCCTCCCTCAGCAAGATCCAGGCTCCTGCAGGGATTTTGTCTCAGCAGGAGCTGGAAACCAGGGACTACACTGCCGAAGGCAAGATTTTTCTACCTCAGTGCAATGCAGAGACTTCCAGCTCCTGCTTGCTTCTGTTGTCAGGGTGTGAGTCTTGACTGCTCCAGGAGGGAGAATTTGCTCCACTGATGCCATTTGCTATGTAGCTGCTGTTAGTCACTATCCCACAAAAGCACAAGGTAGATTACAGCCCCCCTGCCTTGGCAGGTTTGGACCTGCCATTTCTCAGCTGTCACTGAACTCACAGCTGCCTGCAATAGTGGCAGGAGCACTGAGGCAGCCCACCTTACCACTAGGTTCCTGGGAACTCAGCAGCAGTGGCTTTTCTGTTCTTCCCCCAAAATGGAGACAAACTAACTTTCACCATATAAGAGCAAATACTTGGCACATGTGTATCACCCCCATGTTGAACACTGCACAAAACTGCAGACTCCATCACTTGTCTTCCCAACATGAGGTGAGGACTTCTGCTCATGACCTCTTCAATCAGTGAAGTAACAGCTCGTGGCTACACCAGGATTGTTCCTTAATGTATTGGCAGGTGCACAGATGGTTGAAGGTTTCATTCAGAAAATCTCAAGCAAACTGTGCACACACAGATACACTGTACACTGCACTCACTGAGTAGTGCAGCAAAAACTTTACCCTGATATGGAACTCATATGGAGTCAGCAGGAGATACAACCAGGGTAACCTAGGTAAGATTCACTTCTGGGTTCTGAGGTACCAGAAAAAAGAATGTTATCACTGCGCTTCAGATTTAGCCAGAAGAGTGCCTCTTCCATTACCTGAGATCAGAACTACTGCAACCTTTTTACCACGAAATGGGAGAAAACAATATGCCAGGAGGAAAGATGAGTGTACTAATGTGTTGTTCAACAAAAGTGCTGTTTATATCTAGGTTAGTTAAAGGTTCAAGACTAAACCATTCAATGGATAACTCCTCCTGTGAGAGTATTTCCTCTTATGAAAGGAGATGGCTGCAGAGGGCTGCAGAGATTGAGGGCAAAGATAGCTCAGCGCAAATGTGATTTAGATGGGATGCTGGGTTGTTTTTAGAGTACAGCACAGATGGTGCCAATCTACTGTGATGCCGGGGTCAGAGGTCAACTGAAATTCAACTAAAATAATGGGAAATTATTTGGGGAATGAAAATAAACAACTATGCACCAGTGGTTTTTAGAGGAAGGCAGTCCAGGAAACTTCTGTGATTTCCTATCCAGTGAGTGCTGAAATACCATCCCTGGCTAGCATCTATGACAGCTTCCACTACAGCTTGCTCTTAGGGATGTCTGAGTCCATCAGATGTTGCCAGAAAAAGGCCTGTATCCTGCGCCATGCATCTTCCTGGGCTTTAGCATGCTCTCTCCACTGCCCTCCCCAATGCACCAACATCCCAAGCACCCTGTGGATTGAAACTTTGCACAGAGGCAAGTATGGTGGCTCCAAGAGGTGCCCTGCTCCAGAATAGGAGTAAAACTCCACTTCCCGGCCATGCTGCTGAAGGCGCTGAACAGCATCCCGGCAATAGAGGTCGCTTTTCCAGTTCATGTCATCCAGTCCAGACAGGAAGAGGAACTTGGCTAAGGACCTCTCCACAGGAATGCGGCATGCCCAAGTTGCTGGGTCCATGTGATCATCTAAGACATCTGAAAAATCTACTATTCCAGACTCATCACTGATCTTCATCCTCCCCAGGTCATATGGGTGGACAGGAATAGTGAAGCCATCCCCCTTGAGAGGAACGAAGGAATTAAAACTACTTCCAGATATGCTGACAGCTGCCTTGATGCCAGGTAGAAATGTGGCCATTGAAAGGGCTAGATCACCTCCTTTAGACAAGCCCAAAACACCAATGCCAGTATCTTTCACCTGAAACAGAATTATGAAAGCAGTGATATTAACTACTTTTTGTTTCCTGAGCTGACATAACTTCTCCAGTCCTGCTTTCTCACTCATCCAACTATGACCACTCATATTTTGCACCTTCTCTCTCTCTGTTCAGGTAATATTACTTCTTCATCTATCCCTCTGCTGAGCCTCCAAAAGAGTGACTATGAATTCTACAGCTCCTCAGCATTTCTCCTCCTGTAATACATTTGCCTCCTGGTGACCTGTATAGAAAAAGCATCCTTGCTCCCTCCACATCCCAGCTCAGCCTACTCTCAGTATGGCATCTTTTACTGTTCCTCTCTTCAAGCCACTTTTTCCTGGGTTTTCTTGCATTGAATTTCTTCATTGCAGTTTCTTCTATACTTTCCTACATCTGACCTGTTATTTTCTGTTTTGTCTTGGAAGACATAATGTTCATTACACCTGAGGCTAAGTGAGCCCAAAAGCTGTTTAAATCAACTTATTTCTAGTGAAGGCCCTTCACACTGAATTCTAGATGTTTCAGAGGAACAAGACAAACAAGCAAGGCTGACGACTGCTCTCACACTGCCTACAATCCTGGTGTCCATGTGATAGAAATTAAATAACTTTGCAAAACAAATACACATTAAGTAGCATTGCATTAAAATTTTAAATGCTATTTGATTTCTCTTGGTCACTTTTGGGTTAAGTATGATGATACATTGCCATAAAGTATCTTTCTCATCCCACACACTTGTTCAGATATAGCTTCAGCTTCTTAAGATATGTCACACGTACAGTGCTACAACTGTAAAGGATTCTGTTGTTAAGAGTGTTTTATTACTGTCTTGCAAAACTTACTCAGAATCAAAAGCCTGTAATATCTAAGAAACAGTAAAAAAGCCAATGGATCTTTTCCCTTCTAAAATCTTAAAATATGCAAAACTAGTACAAAATTACTGTTTCCTGCTTAAGCAACTTTATATTTCTAGTCTAGGAACCAATTAGCAAACTGGAAAATAGTTTCAGGAAAAGCACCGTAATTTGTCTCTTACCTGCTGCTGTTTCCGCAAAAAGTTCACAGCCTCCTCAAAATAGCTCAGTTCAAGGATCTCTGGCATAGCAGGGATATCTTCAAAGGACATGTAAGCAAGAGCCAGAGTGACAAAGCCCCTGCTAGCCAGGAGACTTGCTCTGTATTCAATAAGACCTCCTCCAGATCCATACAAATCAATAAGTCCAGGGAATGGGCCAGGTCCTGCAATGAAAGGAGGGTGTACACATAACCAAAAGAAAAGTTCCTCTGGGTGTCCTTTTGTGGTGCCTCCTCAGCACACACCAGGACAGTAGATATCAGAAGAAGATCATCCTCTGGAGCTTTCCATGGTGAGTATCATTCTCAGGAACACATAAAATTACCGTAAGCACATGATTTTGCACATTTCTCTCTTAGGAACTCATTATAGGAGGTTCACATGTTGGACATCCTTCTCTCATGGTGAATTTCAGCTGGCATTGGCCTATAAGTATTCGGGCCATTGAGGATCAATGAAGAAACAGTGTTACTGCAGGAGTGGCTCTTCCTCAGGAACTATGCTAGCAGGTATGCCACGGAGGGGATACTTGGGTTATGAAATATTCACAAATGCCAGAACTGACCTGTGCCAATTCAGGTTTCAATAAGATTGAGTAACTACTCCTGAGCTCTACAGCTCTCCTGCAGCAAAATGACCTTCCTTTCCTCATGCTGGTCTGCCCATTCTCATAGCCAGATTTCCCTTACAAGATGTGATGTTACTGCAGCTGAAAGAGACTGTTTGTTAATTACAGAGAAAGACAGCCATGTTTAAGTGCTACTCAAGGAACAGAAACACTTCAGGCTTAAAGCAGCTTTGCACAGGATCCATTCTCAGCACTGTCTGTGTACAGAGTTGTAAAATATGGCACCTGTTTAATTAAAGACCTTGCTTTTCCCATTTGTCTCCTATCTCCCATGCAGTCCAGCTGCTCAGTCAGGACTTCTTTCTTTGACTTTTCCTTAGCTAAAGAGAACACAGAGAGACAGGTCCAGAACCTGCAGGAAGTTATGTAGGAGCTGCTGAGGGCATGGTTCTCCAGCCCAGGCTGGCTGCAGCCTGAGTCCAGTGCTCCCACGATGCCTTGTCATTCTTCACTCCATGGTCAGAGCCATCACACATCACAGCTCTGCCAAGGACCAGGGGCCTCTTCGTCCTGTCAGCTAAACAGAAAAGCTAAGAAATAAACACACCGTTTGACAACGCTCTCACTGCAGGAGAGGTCAAGACACTCAACTAGAACAACCAGGAGACACCTTGTGTTACCACTGCTCCCTCCCTGCACCACCATACCCTTCCGTGGCCCTTGTCCCGCCTGGGCAGCACCTGCTCCTCTTTGCTGTGCCGCGATGATCCAGGCACAGGCTGAGGGAAGTGTTTGCTGAGGCTTTGCTCTGGGTGGCTAAGTGCATTTGGGGACCACGGGGAATAACACATGGTGTGTCAGACATACCTGGAAAACCAAAATGGAATTAAAACTCACCAGGAGGGAGGAAGAGGGTTGCTCTGAGTCGACCTTCTCTGACCGAAATCCTCTTTACCCCCTCTCCTAAAAACCATCGTTCATTGGTGCATTTTCCCAGCAAGCGGCTCGTGTCCCCATGGCCCTCATACACTTCCACGTCCACACAGAAAGGGGTCAGGACGTTCCTCTTTGCCAGCCGCTTGTAGGGCGTTTTGGACTGCAGAGCCCAGAGCAGCCCCATCGGCTCCACTCCCAAATAGCTGCCCCCCAGCGCTGGGGAGCGGCTGAGGTCCAGCTCCCCGCTGCTCCCAGCCCTGTAGAGAGCGTGGGATTGGAAAAGCTCCCCGCTCTCGTCCACCAGGCTGGCTCGGAGGGTGACCGCCTGCTGCGGCTGCAGCCCGGCCACACGGATCCGCACGGGCTCGTCGGACAGGCACCTGCGGGAGGGCAGGACGGACACCCGCGCCATCCCGGCCCGGCTGCACGGACAGCGGGGCACCCACCGCGGGCAACTGCGAGAGACACCAGCCTCGGCCACCCGCCCCTTCTCGGGATTACAGTCTCTGCTCAAAGTCCAGGAGCAATCATCGTCAGCACTTCCCTAGTCGGCCGGCACGGGCTGCTGGGAGACGTAGTTCTGAGCACGCCTCCCTGCAGCCTCTCCGGCTCGGGTGGCACGGTGACACCGGCCATCTGCACGGGCACACGCTGTCACTTGTTCTTGGCGAGTGCTTTTACTTCTGATCACAGAGAGAGAACTAAATTAAAACCCCAAAGCAGCGAAAAGATATCCAAATCGCCGCGCCCGCCAGCGCGGAAATCCCAGATTTGGAAGGCTTAGGAGCCTTTGCCAGGGCACAGTAAACACAGACAAGCTGGAAAGCCTAAGTGGCATGGAATCTTAATCTCGCCACAAAACAAATCCTGCTCTTGATCCCTCTTGAGCTTCTGCAATTTTTGGACAAGCACAAGTTAAAGTGAAACTTTATGCTATAACTATGTTTCCTTTAAAAAGCAAAAGAAGCAAAGTCAAACAATTACTATATTTTTTTTCCTTCCCAATAATTAATTTCCCCCATATTGATAATGTTTCTAAAGAGCTATTAGAAGATTTGACAATAAACACCAGCTTTTGGTTTTCACAAACAACAATACTACATTTTTACAATGTCTGTGTATTTAATAGCCTTCTTGTCCTACCCTGGGAGTCTCGGACACGTGAGTAGTCCTATCCCATTCTGTGGAAATACAAATGGGAATTATGGCTGGTTGAACCAGCCTCCTGGTTCAACTAACTTGCCTGACCATGCAGCAAAGGAATGAAACAATGAGTTTACAAGCTGCAGAATCACACCTCAAGCCATGAGACCACAGATGATGTGCAGATTGACTGCAGGTCTGGCAGAGCAACTCTAAAGTCATCCCTCAGGATGCAAGAGAAAGCAGTTAAGTTTAAATACAACAGTGGAAAAAAAAAAAAGAAACAGCACTAAAAATGTATAGCTTTTTATTTATAGTTCTACTTATAAGCCAAAAAAACTGGCCAATTGGTCTGGACTCTGAAATCAAGAAAAATAGCCATGATGTGTTCAGCAGGCATTGTTGACCACAATTTAATGTTCACATTTGTACTCCAGTCACAGATGCTGATGATTGCGTCACATCAGGAACAGACATCACAGGCTCGAGTCTCCCACCTTCGCTATGGCATTTGCACAGCTTTTGTGAGACTGTCTAGTAGTTGATAATAGCTGTACTTAATGTCATATTCCATGTCATACCAATAATTCACTGAGGAGACAAGAAAAGGGGAAAGCATTTTAAGGCTAGAATGTAATGATTTACAAATGTGTTCATAGACTGTTTTACACAGCTCAGTACAGGCTTTTCCTTGCTACTGACTGAACTTTGAAATGAGCAAATATGAGACTACAGCTAAAAATAACAACATAGTTCTTTTAAAGTGCTGCAAATGTAACTCTATCTTAACCCAAAACAACTTCAGACTCTGTACTGGAGAGTCATTGGAGCAGAAGATGGCAAAACAGCTTAGGAACAGTATGTTTCTATTTAGACAAAAAATATCAAACTGCAAAGTTTAATATCTGGATTGGGAACCTCTCTTCTTGTGTAAAAGATGGCAAATTCATCACTACTTCACAGTGGTCATCAATCAGACAGTGCTTTAATTTTGCTTCTCTTGCTAATTTTGGGGTAGGTCTCCTAGGAGAATTAAGCCATACACTGTAATATTATACCAGTGCTTCTTGGAGGAAGATATGCCCTAGCTTCAGACATTCACTGGACCAGACCCAGAGAAAATTGACTTCTCGAGTGTATACAGACTGTACTGCAGTTAACAGACTAAAGAACAAATAAACTCAAACTCTTTGGTATTTCTGCTAAACAGAGAAAAGAAGTGGTCAGGGGCTCGCAGCTGGAAACAACTCCACTTTTTAAAAAAAAAATCTTTAAGGACTGATGGAGCAGCACTGGGAAAAACAAATCATAATTACTGCTTTATTGCTAGATTGTCTTATTATCACAAGAACCACAAGAACTGAAAAAAGGGCTTGCAATACTTGCAGTATTATACAAATACTAACTGCTCAATACACTGCTCAAAATACTTTTTTCTTTAACAGCATTATCAGGATTATTCCAGACAAAGGGCAAGCAAAAATTCCAACAAAAATCTCTTCCTCAAACCTTGCAAAACTTGCATGACATAACAATAATACCTTGCACCATCCCCACCCCTCCACATGTACCAAATGAGCACTGATGGAAATTCTGGCATTCACTTGGGGAGAGAAGAAAAAAAAAGAGATAAGAGAGATGATGATAAATCCTACAAAGAAAGAGATTACAAGACTTTTGGTAAGTGCAGGGGAACAGTAACACAAACACAACCTTATTAGCAAGGCAAGAGACTTGGTCAGAGCAGATTTCAGCTCATATGAAAACAGAGTATCTTCTATGTTGTCTCAATAAAGCTATGAATTATAAACAAAACAGGCTGCAAGGAGGCAGCCCCATAGGACCTGCAAAGATTGTTATTTCCTCCTGTAGAGAGACAACCTTAAAGGAACTTTTGCTCCCACTGGTGCTTTGCCGTGGGATATCTACCTGCACACCCATCACAGTTTAAAACTGTATCTGGAAATACTGTCTATTTTACCTGCAATACATCCATGTGATTGCTGAACATGATGGAACCAGAGAGAAGGCAGATATAACATCTCACCAGCTTTCACTGTACACTGCAGAGGTTTTGCCTGAGCATACTCTGGATACAGTTCTAGATCTGGTTTCAAGGGGTCCAGAGGGATCCAGGGCACCTAAAGGCAAAAGAGTGTGTATATGGTACTGACCCTGGCAAAAAATTCCAGCAAGCCTCCAGAAAAAGAACTGATAATCAAACTCACTAGGTCACAAAACATGTACTTTGCCTAGAAAAACATGTACAGCTACACAGCTTTCCCAATTCAATTGGGAATAGGTCAAGGATGCAAAGATGTGCCTCCTTCACGGATGCATTTCTAATTAGAGAAAAGACAATAAATGTCATCCATGAAACTGCAGTCTCATGGCATACTTTCAAAATACCTCCAGCCCCTTAAGTTGCTTGTTCCTCCTACATTCATACTTAAATACTTTATCTACAGCACTCTTTTTAGAAATTCCTTTCTTCCTCTTAGGCTCTCTGGTGTAATTTTTACTCCCAGCAGCTGAAACATCACGCCTCTCTGGGAAGTACCTCTTGCCTGCATTAATTCTTTCTCTGCCCAACAGAATTATAAACCTCAGCATTCCAACCTTGCTGCATTAAAGGAATGTGATTCCATGAGCACCACTCTGGAAACAGAGAACAAGCCCCAGTTCAAGTTCTGTTGTAACATTACCCACACTTCGCAGAGGCAAAAGGCAAGGGATTAAGATTCTACTAAGATTTGTAAAGTGCCTCCAGATCAAAACATTTTAATTAAATAAATATTGCTACCACTAAGAAAATACAACTTATTCATTCAGACAGGTATGTTTTATTGCGCTGGGTGATACGACCATGGACCTGAGTAGAGGGCCAAAAAGTAAGTGAATGTAGAGGGGTCTATTTCAGGCATAATGAAATAAATTCCTTTATTATCAATGCATTCAAAAGTTCTTTAGTGGATCTATTCAAGTCTGGTTCAAGGCAACACTTCATGATATCCATCCTTTCAAGCGTGCTGTAAAAGATTTTTCTAGAAGCTGGGTAAGCTTTGCAAATAGTAAAATACAAGTGAGATATCTGGGCTTTCTCTTTCCAATAATGAAGAATTTCTAAATATCAATCAATATGCTGAGTTTGAGGGCTCAACAATGTCCCAAACTCTCCCTAGTGTACTAACTGCATTCTCTATAAACTTTTTACCTTCTCTGCAGTCTTCTCATCAACAATTTCAAATGAACCATCTTCTGATATGTGGTAGGTGGCTGGCTGATAGAGCTCTGGAACCAGAGAAAGAATTAAATTACACAATTCAGAGAACCTAATGGCAGTGCGTGTCACACTTTCACCAATAAAGATTAAGACAAAATCACTTTCAACTTACTGTACTCACTATCCTTCCCTTTTTCCATTTCAAATTTTATCCAGTTTCTTAATATACTTTTTTTTCAGTCTGAATAATACTTACTGTCCTCCAAGCCCATTTGTATCCCAATCCTATTTTGTTCCAGTAACTGTTTTCTTTCCTTTTCAGAAGGCATAAATGCACCCCTGAATTACACATCATTCTATAGCTGGGTGTTTCATCTTGGGTCAGTCTACCAAAAAAGCACTCACAAGAGTTATTAGTGACTTGTGGCCAGCCTTTCATTTTTAATTTTAATTGACAAGGCTCATCAATTTCTTCAGATACTGCTGGTTGCTTTTCTTTCATTGCTTCAGCACATGTGGTTTTCCAAGCCCTCCCTTGAGACAGTTTCTTGCCATTAGTTAACCTAACGCTCAAAAAGACGGAATTCTCCTTTTAGTACACACTATGAAATGTAAGCATTATCTGTTTTAGGCTTTAACAGTAACTTTTTTTACCAAGTAGGACTCCTATAACACATATATATTTCATACATTCACATACATACAACACCACCTGTCCAAGAAAGGTTGAGATAAGGTTGTTCAGCCTGGAGAAGACAAGATGTTGGGGAAACCTCACTGTGGCCTTCCAGTACATAAAAGGTGTTTTTATGAAAGACAGAGAAGGACTTTTTACCAAGGCCAGGACAAGGGTTAATGGTATCAAATGAGATAGGGTAGATTTAGATAATACATAAGGAGGAATTTTTTTGGGTCATGAGGCACTGGAACAGGTTGCCCAGAGAAGTTGTGGATGCCCTGTCCCTGGAAGTGTTCAAGGTCAGGCTGGATGGAGCTTTGAGTAATTTGGTCTATTGAATGGCAGGGGCATTGACTCAATGACATTCAAGGTCCTCCCAACTCAGACCATTCTGTCATTCTATGACTTCAAGGTTGTAAACAAAATAAAAACAACATAAATAAAATATTGTAGCAGCACACATCTAGCCAAAATTATATTTGTATCACAGAGAACTCTGCGATGAAAATATAATTTTTATATTAAATTTCACATAATTTTGCAAAATTATATTTGCATCATAGAGCACACTTAGTCTGATGGTTTGAAAGCCAAGGAATGGGAAAATTCCTATGAGGCACAAATTTAAGTTGGCCATCTTTCAGATGACACTGCAACAGTAACTACTGCTATGTATATAGGAAAGCCACATAAAGAAACAGAAAACAGGCAGTGTGAAGCAACGCTGCCTTGACAATCTTTCTTCATTTCTCAGTTTTCAGAGATTCAGTTAGTAGCTTGAATATTTCATTAAAATACAAGTCACTTTTCAGCTTCCTGGCTTTTTTTTCTAGAGAAAAGCAGGTAGGCAGAATCCAAACCTGTAAAACATTGAAGATGACATGCTACAACACTGACAATATACTTAAATAATTTAAACATTCTAAAGTTGAAGAGACTGCCACAAGTATCACAGAATCAACTAGGTTGGCAAAGACCTCAAGAGATGAGATCTGAGATCACTTAGTCCAAGCTATGACTGAACACCACCTTGTCAACTAAAGCATGGCACTAAGTGCCACATCCAGTCTTTCCTTAATCACCTCCAGGCACAGGCTTTCACCACCCCCATGGGAAGTCCATTTCAATATCTAATCAACTTTTATGTGAAGAAATTCTTCCCAATGTCCAATCTAAACCTCCCCGGGCACAACTTGAGACCATTACCTCCCCGTCTGTCACTGGTTGCCTGGGAAAAGATCCTGATCTCCATGTGGGTACAACCTCCTTTCTTGGCGTTCTAGAGAGTGATAAGTTCCCCCGAGTCTCCTTTTCTCCAGGCTAAAAACACCCAGCTCCCTCAGCTGCTCCTCATAGGAATTACCCTCTGGAATCTTCACCAGCTTTAATGCCCTTCTCGACTCACTTCAGTATCTAAATGTCCTACCTGAACTGAGTGGCCCAGAACTGGACACAGGACTCAAGATGCAAACCGGTAAGCTCACTACTTTACCGGACTGGAAAACCTGGCCTCAGAATAACATTTGTATTACAAACTACCTGCAGCATGAAGTAGAAGAGATTTCTGTTCACACTGGAAAGTGCAACACTGCATAAACATGAAAATGTTACCACTGCTTCCTTTTTTCCCCAACTTTCAGTGTTTCAGTATGTCCTCCTTCCAACCTTCAGACACTTTGCACAGCAAAATGATGTACCATATGGGATGAAGGGACGGTCACTTGGTGGATGCAGTAGAAAATATTTCTCTCCAGATACCACACAGTATAAGTTCTCATAATGATCTTTATGTACTAGGATTGAGGAAAAAAAAGAGAAATGGGGAGAAAGACAGAAAATCATAGCTATTTCCTTCTCTGCAGCAGAAACTACAGTAAACAAAGTATCAGCTTTCCCTATTATTATCAGACTGCTTCTTCCTCTTGCAGCCAGTAGGAAAGTCACAATATCATGCTGTAGCAAAGGCGTTCAGTGAAGCAAATTGTCAGTGCCTTGCCTGACACACTGCCAGGTAGATGCACCCAGAGACAGCAGCAGCAGGAGGCTGCAGAAGGGCAGAATAAAAAATGCAAAAAAAGCATGTTAAAACAGAACTGCCTTGTCAGAAAAACCACACTGTTCTCCTGAGCCACTAACTCAAAACAAGCCAGCTTAAACTTGTGCTGAAATCACCAGAAGACTTACACTGCCATAGGATACGTACAAGATGTCACAGCAGCGGACTCGCCAACCCAGAAATTCACAGCATCAGGTTTCTTCCCTGTACAGTTAGGGGAAAGAAAAATTATGACAACAACAAACTTTAATTTTTTAAAACCATTTCAAATAATTTTCTGCCAAATTCTGTCCTATAATTTACTTCATAATTATGATAGAATTAATTGCAAATAACACTCTGTGAACAACAACGACCTCCTACACTGCGAACATTAAGCCAAAATATTACTTTAGATCAAAGAAAAGCCACTCAATGTAAAGTGTTACATGACATCTTTTCAATTGTGAAGGTCCCAATACACAACAGAGATACTGTTTTCAGAGTAATACAACCCCAAAACTTGGATTTCTCTATTAGGTATTTTACCATTCTGCTTTCTAAAGAGGATGAAACCAATCTCAGCTGTGGCATTCGGAAAGAGAATAAGTATTCACCATGTAGTACCTAATGTGATTGTTTTAAAGCTCCATACAAAATATTTACTGAATACGAGAGAAATTGAGGGTTTACCCAGTGCCTCACTCATCCATGGTATGTCAGGCTGCACATCACAGACAAGTTCAGGGAACTCCTCAGTGAGGTTTGAACACTGCTTCTGCACATAGAATACGTTGGGAGAGGTCACTTTCTTCTCCACAATGTCCAGGAAATCCCTGAAAGGCATTTGGCGCTCCTCTGGCATGACAAAACGGTCCTGAAACACTGCATCTGCATAACCATTTGGTGTCACTGCCACACTCACCACCTTGGGACCTACCACCTCCCTGCAAAGCAAATCAAAGCTTTATATCCAGGCCTGCAATTAGCTCTTATATTACATAATGGTTATTTTAAAAACATGTTTCAAGGGCAGCAAAAATAAGATGCCTGTCTTTCCATGGATGGGTGTCTCTAGATTAGATTTTCTGCTATCTAGCAAGGATCCCAGCATTCTGCTCCAATTGCTCCCTGCAGTCAAGGCAACTCTAGCTTATTCTTCCTCTCTGAATTCTCTCCTAACAAGATGGTTCACAAGGGAGCTCCCTTTTCCTCCATGCAGACAGAGCGTTCTCTTTGGCCAATTCTTTTCACCAGTCATGGCAGAGCTTGATATTATTGTGGCTGTTGAACTCTGTCAAATCCAAGGGTTCTCATGTTCAAAAGCAACTGAGCAAGGAGAAGGGGTGGACAGAAACTCATAGATATACACCCCATGAGGCTAACAGTCCTTAGTTCCATAAGATATTTAGCTTAAACCCCACAGGATTAGATCTGACCCACACAGGCCTAACCACAAATCCTCTCTTAAAAGAGGGCATTTCATTAAAATTTCAGCCATTGTTAAAATGCTCATCCTTTTATATTTTGAAGAAAACAAGGTGTGCTCAGTCACAAACAGGTCAGTCTGTTCTTATAGCATTACAGCCCCACTCCAGCTGTGTGGGTTTCAATAGCCTGGGTCTGTTGGTTACACACAGCCAGAACACCCACCCTCCTGGCTGCATCTGAACTGGGAGGGCAGTATGTGTGCCAGAAAGACATTTACACCTTGGGAAGACTGAACACCTTAATACAGAACCAGGAAGGAATCTGGGCTAATCTTACAAATAAAAGCAAAGATTAACCCAGGGGTTTTTTGGTGAGGTCACCCGAAATTGAACACCAGTCCTGCTCCACAGCTCGCTCATACCTGAGGTACGCTGAGGTCCATTTCTTCAGAGCCGGCCAGTGGTTGATGGCGTTGCGAATTACACAGGGTTTATTTGGACTCACCCACTCTCGGTAAAACTCCAGTGGGGATGGAGGCCTATCAAGATAGGGTATGGACTCCGGCCAGCCCAGCTCTGTCCAGGCAAACAATAAACAGTGTTACTCAGCATCTCGGGACAAGCATCTCCTGCCAGCACACAGGCTTCCCGCGCCTCACCACGCTGCCACCAAGCAGTGCTCCCCACGGATCCAGAATCTCTCTGCTAATGCCCAGGGAGAGTTAGGGCTGTTTCAAACCCAGATGGAACCTCAGGCCAGCGCCTGAGGATAAAGGGATAAAGGGCCTGTGATACAGGAAGTGCACCTCCCATACAGAGGTGATACCGCGGAATCATTTTTTGGAAACTGGAATAGTGCTTTGCTTTGCTACTTTATACACAGAGAAACAACCATTAAAGAACCGTTTTATCGGGTTTCGCTTTCTTCTTGCGGCGGCCTTCCTGCCCCACCCTGACCTCGGAAGCACCGTGCCGGCAGCACAGCGGGTGCCACTGATCGCCCCACGCCGCTGCCGCTGGCCGAGGCGGCAGCACCGGGCGGGCCGGGCCCCGGGGCGGCGGCGGGGCCGGCCCAGCAGCGCTGCCCGCCCGGCTCCGCGCCCCGCGCTCCGGCGCTCACCGCGGGCCTCCCGCGGGAAGGCGGCCAGGCAGCCCCGCACGGCCCGCAGCGCCGCGCCCTCCGCCATGCCCCGCCCTGCGCCCGCCCCTTCCCCCGGAAAACAACCGCGGCGCGGCTCCCGAGTGAGTCGCGCAGCTCGGTAACAAATGGTCGCGGTTTTATTGAAACGGTTTAAGACACGAAGTACAAATGGATACAGAGTTAAAAACAGCTCCCGGGAGAGCCTCACAGTGCAAAACAAAACAAAACAGAACAAAAAACAGCATCAACGAGAAAAAAAAACCCAACAAACGGAATTTTAAATTCTTTTCCCAAATAATAATTAAAAAAAAAAAAAGACAAAGTATTATTTTACCTAAAGCCGAAAGTATAAAAACACGCATTTATAAATAAAGCAGGAAGGGTACTTTTGTTGGTGTTTTAAAGGAGTGGGGGAAAGGGCAGTGCAGGCAGGGGGAACAGGGTGAGGAGGGGCCGGCGCGGGGCGGGGGGCAGGGGGACGCGCGGGCGGACACGGCTTGTTCCGAACGCGGCTGCCCGCGCCTGTCCCCGTGCGACACCGACACAGCCCCGGCCGCCCCGCGGCTTCCACACGCACGATCTGAAACATGGGATACTCCGGACACACCCAGAGAAGGAACTACCTGCTCTCTCGGGGGGCTGCTAGAAGACCTGTCTACCATTTCAATGAGGTTTTTGTCATTTAATGTCCTGGATGCTACACATCCAACGGGCTGGGGGGAAGACACTGTATACATGCATTAATTTAACAAGGGTGTTTAAATACCTGCATTTCATTTTTTTTTCTTATATATAATTATATACATATTCGTTCTTCTTAAAAAATTATGTTGGTGTGTTTCTACTCCCATAAAGAAACGTCCCAATTCCTCTGAGTCATGATGAAGTCTGCAAAACGGGGAGGCTGGGCAGGGGGCTGCTGTAAGACCATGCCCCAGTATTCCCCTGGGAGGTGGCATGGAAAGGAGAAGACAACCTGAGAGAGGAGGTGGAAGAAAGGTGGACTCCCATACACACAGCTCCTGAGTGCTGCTGAGGGATGGGGAGGAGGAAGGCGTTACCTGCTCGCAGCAGGAAATACAAGTTTGCTGCCCTTTCAGGCTGCAACCCTTCCTACTGTCCCAGTTCAACAGAATCCTTAAACAAACTGAGGGGATCCACAGGCAAAGCAGTACTATTTGCAAGATGGAAAAGAAACCTAAAACTTCTCATTTTGACCAGAAATGTTGGGTTGAAGAGAGGAAAATATATGTAAAGAGGATAGGTAGATCCAAAATATATTTTCAGGTTTTATGTTAAACAGATAACTTATCATAATACAGGTATCTTGCTGTGCCTATGCTAATACCCACACAAACCAACAAGAGGGATCACAAAGCATTAAGAGGGATAGACTCAAACTTATTACCTCCTCCAACAAGCCTCTTGATTTCCCAGGCAGTTACCATTCATTATTTCTCTACCTGGCCCAATGAACAGCCTGCAGTGAAACATGTTCACAAGGTGCAATTGCAATGCATTTATGCTCTTTTTGTTCTGTAAACTAGAGGTTTTAGGAATATTTCCTACTGCCAGCAATAGGAAGTTATCAGGGAAAATTAGTTAAATCAGTCTTAAATTATAAAGAGCAACACTATCCCCTCACCCTTCTCAGCAACAAACTTGTGGCACCTGCATCTACCTTTACTGGGCTTCTAATCAATTTGAAACATCAAAGCCTTGAACAAGCAGCTCAGGACTTTGCCATTTAAGAAAAAAAAAAAAAAAAAGTTGCTTAGAGAACAGTTGCAAGAGAAGAAGCAAGAGGCTCAATAGAACATATTTAAAAACAAACTCCTTCCCATTCATCCTTCAATTACAGATCACCATCTCCAAGTCCTATATCTACTTTCTTGAAGCCTTTTGGTATTGTATCATCCACAGGTATTGGCCAAATGATGTTCTTCAGACCAAGACCCTCTACTTCTACTGTTTTCCTGAGTCTCCTACATATACTATTCTAAATTTATTTTAAACTACACAACCATTCTCCAACTGATCTACTTGCCCAAAACTTTTCTTGCCATCATTCTGATCAGATTTTACGTCTGGTTTCCTGTATACATCCATGACCCCAAGTAAAAACCATTCCAGGAAACAAAAACCATGCTGATCAGCTTAAAAATCAGATTTGCTTCACACAACTTATTTCCAAGGAGCTTTGTTTCATATCTCTATGCTAGCTTTGCTGGTTGTTGCCCTTTACCTTCATAGTAATTTTATTCTCACCACTTGGCTCTTCTGTATCATCTCTGACCTTTTTGTCACTACCTCAATGTTTAAATAATAAAATGGTATAAAATTGCACAAGGAAGTTATATAAAGGACCCTCAAACCATTATCAACAGTACCAAAATATACCTGGGTTCTAGGGGCTGCTATTTTTCCTGAGTGTCTTGTGGCCCCAGTACAGCAAGAAATTCCCTGTATACTAGGACATATGTTCACAGTCTGAAAGTGGAGGAACCGGTCACCGCAAAAGCAAGCTTGACCCACACTATCTCCCATCACAGACCCAAACATGACTGTCAGCACACATTCCACTTGTGGCATCTCCAGCTCACCTTTTCACTGCCAGAAACTTCCTCACTGGTTTCCAACTTGTCCTCCTTTGCAAAACCTGTCTGTGCAAAAGAAGCTGCCCATGGGACTGAGCACACCAGCTGATTCAGCAGAATACAGTGCAGAGATGGGACTAGAAAATAACTCCTTTAAAGTTTCAGCACAAGCCCATGGAAGGAAAGGTTAGTAAGGACATCTGAAACATGATTAGGCATATTTCAATTACAGGCAGAAGGAGCTGGAAAACTCTCAAAGTGTTTCCCATACTGCCATGTCCTGAAGCACTCAGCAGTGATCAGGCAGCAAACCTGTTAGGAGAGAGACAGAACTGCTGATTATTCAGCCCTAGAGTTACTCAGGAGAAACAGGTTGTCCTCTGCCAGTCTGGCCAGACCAGCAGAAAAAAGGCTGCACTGCAGATCTGCAGTCACAGAAAGAGAAGTCAACATACCACATTTCCAAGTGCCACAGGGTTTCAGAGAAACAACAGCCAGGACAGTAAAATGAAAAAAAAAAAACTGCTTCTACCCTGTAACCAAGTGATGCAGTCTGGCCGCCTCTGACTGACTTCCACATATGTTAGCAGTCTCTCTCCCAACAAATTCTTGTTGCTTGCGTTAGTTTTATGAACTCTGATTACACTGCGCTGTCTTAAAATAAATGCAAGACAGACTGGAGATGGAAGAAATAAAACACTTTGTGTAATTTCCCTTGTTGTTGGAAGGAGCGGGATTAAGGGGGAAGGTGCTGAAAAATTTCATTGGTTTAATTTTTTTTTTTAGCTTATATCATTGACCTAAAAAATATCACTGCACAATTTTAAGCCACAAGAGACACAAGTTAGCATGGGTTTAGAGAAGCTCCACAGGGCGAGAAGAATATTGCACATACAAATGCAAGAAGAGAAGATTCTGTTTCTCAGACCAGAAATTCATGAAAAGCAAAGAGGCTAGAGGCAGCAGAAATGGTGATCATCACACCCCAAAATATCTCATTTGAAGTTCTTAGGAAATAATTTTGTGAGGGTATTTGAAACAGGTTTACAAAAGGTAAGAGAATCTCTTGGATGTAAATATTCTGTTTTCATGTAAAGACAAGGAAAAAACATTTTCCTACCACAGTGAAAAGAACAAATGACACAGATGAGCCAAGGCACTCAAGATCTCTCAAACCCATAGCTACACTGTACGAGATGGAAACCAGCTTTTCCATGTCACTTCTCCAAAAATAAATCATAACAACAAAGTCAATATCCAATTCCTAATCATGAAAGCTGGGTGAAACAAACTTTTGTATTGTATCTAAATCCAATTTTTAAAACATCTGCAGAAAACCCAGTCTGAAGTATTCAAATTCCAGATTAAAAATATCACTGATGAATTCATAAAGCAATCTCCGAAGCATGGCCCAAGGGATGCAGAGCCTTCCCCTGGAGGCGAATGCAGATAAACTACAGTGTGAGGACTGTCTTGACAATAGGAAAGCAGACAAGGTTGTCATAACAACAGCAGGATTACTGCAGGGAACAAAACTAAGGCAGGAAAAGCAAGAACAGCAAGACAAGATCGAAGCAGAGAACAGTTCATTAATTGCACAGACACTCCAGCCTGTCTCCCTGTTGGGGATTTATAATACAGAGATTGTTTCTCGCTGGGATATGGCAAAGGGATTGACAGTTTTTTAAAAGGACAAAGATAACAGCCACAAATGTGGCATAGAACAACAGTCAAGAGAAATAAATTAATAAATAAACCCATTAAAAGTCTGATTCTTGATTCTTATGGAGTCTTGAAGAGGAAGGGCTTGGCTTCACATGGACTCCTTTGCTTTTAGCCAGCAGTTTCTTGGATAAACTGGATTTTCTTTGTATTTTTAGGTGTCAAACATCCTGACCTCCTGGCTATGAAGAAATTTCAAGGCAATTTCTCCACACTCCTCTTTCAAGACTTTGTTTAGACACAGGAAGTTGAAGACCATTGGGAAACAAACATTAAAACTGTGGCCAGCACATTGCTAAGAATTGGAACAAGTCAGTTGTTAGAGCCTGAGGAAATCAATTTATAAAGGTATCCCACCAGCCCTAGACCAGCTGATGGTAGCATTGGTCTGAAGCTCTCTCTGTGGTCCTCTTTTTGCAATTACTTCTGCGTGCTCACAAACACCTGAAAGCCACCCCTCTTAGAGTTTTTTGTCCATGCGTCGTTCCACAGCTTGCAGCAATAGCTCTGAGTACTGTTCCAACAAAGCGAGTGTCTGCTCATCTCCCAAACTCTTGGGACTCGGTGGATTGGCACCACATCCCTCATTCAGTGGGCTAGTGTTATCTTGTGGCTTCACCAGTGCCTCCTTGTCTTTTGGAAGCTCTTCTGCATCCTTCAGAGAGTCCAATTCTTTCTTCATTGAGGAGAATGTTTCTGTCAGGAGGCCTGCTATTTTATCTTTGTCAGTTGA